TCATAAAACCAGAAATAAGCATCCAAATCTCTTCAAATTTCACACATACAAACATTTAAATTAACACAAGATCTGTTGTGAATGTGATATATATTTGCGGTAGCCTTCTGGTCCCTCACCCACAAAGATTCATATTTTTCAATACATTTATCTGTCATAAATTGCGAAACAAGTCGGCGATTCTTTACAACTTCCTATGTCTAAATATTTCTCTCAACCAGAAACGCATAAATTTGGATATAAATGTTCGATTTTCATAAAATGTTGACCAGACCAATGTTTTTATCTGTATTAGATGAAGTATGAAAATGGAATACTTAGGTCCGCTAAATCTGTCACGACATGCACATGTTAACATTTTCTTAAAATTATCACATATCTCATATAAAGTGTAGGAAGTAACCATTATAGTCCAAACTTGTCACGTCGCAATGCTTATATCGTTTTTTATACCCTGCACCACAAGGTGGTCTTTGTGCATTTGTTTGTAACAGGCAAAAGGAAACGAGAAAGACCCATAGTTCCTTTTAATGATCTGCATAGAATCACATTCTGAGTCTATTTATGCATGTCCGTCCGTCCGTCCGTCTGTCCATGTATTTTTGTGAACAAAGTATAGTTCGCATTTATTGTCCTATCCAGATGAAATTTTGCACAGATCATTTGTTTGGCCCAAGGACGAACCCTTTGAAATTGGAGATAATCGGTAAAATTTAGATATAGCTCCCACATATATCTTTAGCTTTTACTGTGCACCAAACGTGTAATATCAGCCCAAATAGTATGGAATTTTGCACATACAACCAAATAAGGCCTGAAAATATGTATGCCAAATTTGATCGAAATCGGTTAAGATATAGCTATAGCTGCCATATATATTGTTCATCCGATTTGTTATTTTTGTCCTCCGCAGCCGTAATATGCACTTCGTAACAACAATATTTGGGGAATTATATCAAATACAGCTCAGAAATACATTTGCTAAATTTTATCAAGATCGGTTCAGATTCGGATATAGCTCCCACATATAACTTCGTCCGATTTACCTTTTATTGTGCACCAAACGTCTAATATTTGCCCAATTGGGATGAAGTATGTCAAATTTGGTGAAGATCGGTTCAGATATAGCTATAGCTCTCATATATATTGTTCATCCGATTTGTTATTTTTGTCCTCCGCAGCCGTAATATGCACTCCGTAACAACGATATTCAGTGGAATATATGAAATACAGCTCAGACATATCTTTGCCAAATTTTATCAAGATCGGTTCAGATTTGGATATAGCTCGCATATATATCAAATGGGCAATACAAGTCCGAATTTAAAAGATACAAATGCTTCGGCATATTTAGTCTTTGGAACTTTAAATTATAATTATAATCATAGCGTGTATGATTGAATTCTCCCATAAAAACTTTTAATTGTTATATGGAGCTCTACTAAATTAGCAAAGTAGTGTAGGCCCTGCCCGACTTTAATACTTTCTTTACTGTTTTTTTTTTTTTTTTTTTTTTTTTTTTTTTTTTGGGGGGGGTCCGATACGAAATGGACAATATTGGCCCTTTCCTTTGGAACCCACTCCATCCAATTTGAATAATTTTAACAGAAGTCAAAATATATTTAAATAATCGGAACGAAATATAACAATAATCGGCCTGAATTGTAATCATTCTGACGCGGTGACGAAATAAAAACAAATTCTGTAATCGTACATCATCCACCAACCATCTCAGTGGAAGAACGGGAGCTGACTGGACAAACCACAGTGGTTTTGGCATAACTGATATGAGGTTGTCGAAGCCACTCAAGTTATATTGGCCTCATATTAATATCAGTGAGGAGATCAACTTGTCCAGCCAAACCTTTCGTTATGGACTCAACTCATATTGCTCGTCACCTTCTTTTTCGACTCGAGTTAGAAAGGACGCTGCAGTACTTATTTCTAAAACCACTAGAACGGACCATGAAATGTCTACATTAAACCATGTTGGGCGCCACTTTACAAAAATGATACAAAAGTGAGACTGGATATAATTATGCACTTTATGCACCATAAAATACATCGAAATATTTTTTGGAGACCCAATCAAGTATATATAAAATTCTCTACCAATTTAGCATCAATGGACTATTAAATATAGAGCTTTGAAATTTTTGCCGATATATTTATACCTCGTCTTCTATCAATTTGGTATTTATAAATTCCACTCCTTCTAACTAAAAACCCCTGCTTACTTGTTTCCTTTTGTAGCCCAGTGTAAGTACCACTATAATGTCTCATAGTTCAATTTTTTGTTTTTGGTATTTTTGTTTTGGTTATTCATGGGTTTTGCTTTCTGACCTTCTGCACGGCACACAAAAAGCCTCCAAAATAAAGTACCAGTTATCCAAGTAGGTATTTCACTACTACGACTCTTCATACTCTGGTGACTGATAGGTAATTCCGTACCTGTTGATTCCAATGAAAACTTGAAAATAAATTCACAACATTATGATTTGGAGATTCTTAAAAAAAAATAAACAAAAACTGAAAAAAAGAAAAAAAATACTTAGCAGCAGCTGCACTCATAAACATCGCGCTAATGATATCGATTATGAAATCAATTTACTGTCACACCTCTTCGTGGTTGTTGTTGTTGTAGTAATGTATTGTTTGTATGTATTTAATCCATCCATCCATCCATCCATGCGTTTATTACCTCGTTGTGTCTGCATGTTTACCCTTTAGCTATCTTCATTATTAACATCTGAAAAATTTGTTGGAGCTATGGCTTTGTCGTACGGTGTGTGATTTTTTCATTGTTTGTTGTTGTTTTTGTAAAAAGGTAGTTTGCTTCACATATAATTTTTTTTTAATGCGGTGATCAATAATGTTACCATTTCCAAACCCGAATGCGGAACTTGTCAATTACAAAATTTCAAAATATTTAACAGACATTAAAAAAAGATAACAACTACGTCACAGTCTGCCAGGTAGACGCAAAGAGGACTATATTTTTGTTCAGAACTGAGGACTGGTTTTTATTAAAGGGTCATCAATCCATAGAAGTATTATTTGATTTTTTCTATCCATTGGATCCCTTTCAAGGGTCACCTATTCCCAAAAGACCGACAGAAAGACTTCACATTTTATTAATGGATGACCTGTTGAAGGTCTTCTATCCGTAGATGACCTGTTGATGGTATTCTATACGCAGAGACTTGTGGAAGATCAGTTAAAGGCTTTGTATTCACAGGAGACCTGTTGAAGGCCTTCTATTAATAGAAGACCTGTTGAAGGTCTCCTGTCTGTAGAAGACCTGTTGAAGGTGTTCTATCCGTAGAAGACCTGTTGGAGATCTTCTATCCGTAGAAGACCTGTTGGAGATCTTCTATCCGTATATGACCTGTTGATGGTATTCTATACGCAAAGACTTGTGGAGGGTTTTCTATGAGAACATGATCAGTGAAAGGCCTTGTATTCACAGGAGACCTGTTGAAGGCCTTCTATTAATAGAAGACCTGTTAAAGGTCTCCAGTCTGTAGAAGACCTGTTGAAGGTGTTCTATCCGTAGAAGACCTGTTGGAGATCTTATCCGTAGAAATCCTGTTGAAGGTATTCTAGAAGACCTGTTGAAGGTCTTCTATCCGTAGAAGAACTGTTGAAAGTCTTCTACACTTAAAAGATCTGTTGAAGGTCTTCTATCCATAGAAGACCTGTTGAAGGTCTTCTACCCATAGAAGACCTGCTGAAGGTCTTCTAACCATAGAAGACCTGCTGAAGGTCTTCTAACCATAGAAGACCTGCTGAAGGTCTTCTAACCATAGAAGACCTGCTGAAGGTCTTCTAACCATAGAAGACCTGCTGAAGGTCTTCTATCCATAGAAGACCTGCTGATGGTCTTCTAACCATAGAAGACCTGCTGATGGTCTTCTAACCATAGAAGACCTGCTGAAGGTCTTCTAACCATAGAAGACCTGCTGAAGGTCTTCTAACCATAGAAGACCTGCTGAAGATCTTTTAACCATAGAAGACCTGTTGAAGGTCTTCTAACAATAGAAGACCTGTTGAAGGTCTTCCAACCATAGAAGACCTGCTGAAAGTCTTCTAACCATAGAAGACCTATTGAAGGTCTGCTATCCATAGAAGACCTGTTGAAGGTCTTCTATCTATAGAAGACCTGTTGAAGGTCTTCTATCCATAGAAGATCTGTTGAAGGTCTTCTATCCATAGAAGATCTGTTGAAGGTCTTCTATCCATAGAAGACCTGTTGAAGGTCTTCTATCCATAGAAGACCTGTTGAAGGTCTTCTATCCATAGAAGACTTGTTGAAAGTCTTCTAACCATAGAAGACCTGCTGAAAGTCTTCTAACCATAGAAGACCTGCTGAAGGTCTTCTAACCATAGAAGACCTGCTGAAGGTCTTCTAACCATAGAAGTCCTGCTGAAAGTCTTCTAACCATAGAAGACCTGCTGAAGGTCTTCCAACCATAGAAGACCTGCTGAAAGTCTTCTAACCATAGAAGACCTGCTGAAGGTCTTCTAACCCTAGAAGACCTGTTGAGGGTCTTCTATCCATAGAAGACCTGTTGAGGGTCTTCTATCCATAGAAGACCTGTTGAGGGTCTTCTATTCATAGAAGACCTGTTGAGGGTCTTCTATCCATAGAAGACCTGTTGAGGGTCTTCTATCCATAGAAGACCTGTTGAGGGTCTTCTATCCATAGAAGACCTGTTGAGGGTCTTCTATCCATAGAAGACCTGTTGAGGGTCTTCTATCCATAGAAGACCTGTTGAGGGTCTTCTATCCATAGAAGACCTGTTGAAGGTGTTCTATCCGTCTACTATCCGTAGAAATCCAGTTGAAAGTCTTCTACCCACAGAAGACCTCTTGAAGGTATTTTATTCATAGAAGTTGAAGGTCTTCTTCCTTGTACCGTAATCTCAATCGAGCCGATGAAGAATAAACGATTATTATTTTTTATGGATTTTTTTCATTTATTTTATATTTTCTTTCACTTTTTCAGTTTTGGAATCATTTTAAGTTTATTTGTTTTTGTTTATAAGTTTTTTTTTTCAGTTGTTGTTTTGCATTTCTTCTGTTCAGTTTTTAAGGATTTACATTCTATGCATTCTTCATTTATTTATTTCTTTTGTTTTTTGGATTTAAATATAGTTTTAATAATTATAATTTATTAATGGTGTGTGTGTGTGAGTGTCTTAATCTCAAAGTAATAATAATAATTATGAATTTTATTTTTGTTTTCTTTTTTTGTAACTGTATATGTTGTTGGTTTTGTTCTGTCTTTTGTTTCATATTTTGTTTTATATATAATTTTTTTTTGTTTCGTTTTGTATATTTTTTAAATATGACAAAAAGTTTTTTTTGGAGTTTTGTTTTTTTGTTGCTGTTGTTGTTGTTTTTGTTTTTGTCGGTATCACCTTAATACATAATGTCTTCTTTAGTACAAGTATTATTTATCATTATTATATAATAATTATTTAGTAGTATTAACAAAAATAAGTTACATTTTTATGGTCTAAATAAATAAAATCATCATCATCATCATCATCATAATATTTATAAATTAAAAAATAATAATAAAAAGTTTTCTCTTTTGTTTCTGTTTTCCATTTAAAAAATAAAAAACACATACATTTATGTATAAGCCCTAAATTGTTCACACCTACATCACCGGCATCTGCATCACCTTCATCATCGCTTGCTTGCATTGTTATCTCTATTGTTTCTATTATTATGTACAACTATCAGGGTGCTGACTTTGTTTACGCTTAGATTTTGGCTCTTTTGTGTGATCGATTGATGGACGTCTAGGATTGCCAAGTGTTACTAATGCACTGGCCACAGCCAGGCCAGCTGATTGACCAGGTGGTGCATGCTGGAGACCACCTGCAATGAGAATTGGAAATACAAAATTGTTTAAAAGGACACCAACAGAATTTTATGTTTAAATTACCTGTGGGTAAACGGACTAGAAGTGACAGTACCGCAGCACGATTTCCACTGCAGGGCTCTAAGGCTATGGGACTCGGACAATCCTAAAAAAATAAAATAGAATTAGATATGACTTTGCATCCAAATGTGTTTTAATCGTACGTACCTTTTTACGTTTTTTACTCATATTCGCAATGCCCTCCATGGTCAGTGATAAATCAATATTTTCACGACTCTCAATTTCCACTAGCACCTGAATGGGAAAAAAACATAATTAGGTATAATTTCTGAAATAAATGTGAAATTAATTTAACAATCACTATAAATCTTCGTTGATCTTAAGCAGGTCTTCTATTGCCTCTACTATCTATAGAAACCCTAATGATCTCCTACTGTCTATAGAAGACCTCTAGGTATTCTAATGTCTATAGAAGACCTCTAGGTTTTCTAATGTCCATAGAAGACCTATAGGTCATCTATTGTCTACAAAAGACCTCCAGGTCTTTCAATGCCTTCCAATATCTATAGAAGACCTCTAGGTCTTCTAAAGTCTTTAGAAGACCTCTAGGTCATCCAATGTCTATAGAAGACCTCTAGGTTTTATAATGTCCTATTATCTATAGGAGATATTCAGATCTTCTATTGTCTATAGAAGACCTCCAGATCTTCTAATGTCTTTAAAAGACCTCCACGTCTTCTAATGCTCTATTATCTATAGGAGACCTCAAGGTCTTCTATTGTCTATAGAAGACCTCCAGGTATACTATTGTCTATAGGATACCTCAATGTCTTCTATTGTCTATAGGAGACCTCAAGGTCTTCTATTGTCTATAGGAGACCTCAAGGTCTTCTATTGTCTATAGGAGACCTCAAGGTCTTCTATTGTCTGTAGAAGACCTCCAGGTCTTCTATTGTCTATAGGAAACCTTAAGGTCTTCTATTGTCTATAGGAGACCTCAAGGTCTTCTATTGTCTATAGGAGACCTCAAAGTCTTCTATTGTCTATAGGAGACCTCAAGGTCTTCTATTGTCTATAGGAGACCTCCAGGTCTTCTATTGTCTATAGAAGACCTCCAGGTCTTCTATTGTCTATAGAAGACCTCCAGGCCTTCTATTGTCTATAGAAGACCTCCAGGTCTTCTATTGTCTATAGAAGACCTCCAGGTCTTATATTGTGTATAGAAGACCTCCAGGCCTTCTATTGTCTATAAAAGACCTCCAGGTCTTCTATTGTCTATAAAAGAACTCCAGGTCTTCTATTGTCTATAGAAGACCTCCTGGTCTTCTATTGTCTAAAGAAGACCTCCAGGTCTTCAATTGTCTACAAAAGACCTCCAGATCTTCTATTGACTATAGAAGACCTCCAGGTCTTCTGGTGTCTACATAAGACCATAAAAAACCATCAGGTCTTCCATTGCCTATAGAAGACCTCAAGGTGTTCTATTACCTCTAGGTCTCCTTTTGTCTATAGATCATCAAAGGTGTATTGAGGAAGTAGAGGGTTTCTTCAATAGAAGACCTCCAAGACTGCTATTGTCTATAGAAGACCTCTAGGTCTTGAAGACCTCCAGGATTTCTAATATCTATATAAGACCTTCTGGTCTTCTACCGTCTATAGAAGACCTCCAATTCTTCCATTGTCGATAGAAGACCATCAGGTCTTCTATAATCTATAAGATGCCTCCTGGTCTTCTATTGTCCATATAAGACCTCCAGGTCCTCTATTGTCCATAGAAAACCTCCAAGTCTTCTATTGATCATTGAAGCCTCCAGAACTCTCATTCTTAATTGAAGGTCTTCTGTTGTACATAGAAGACCTCCAGGTCTTCTATTTTCTTATTTTGCTGAGAAAGAATCTTCCATCTCACCCCTCCCCCTCCCATCTCACCTGTGAAAACGGCCGGCTGGCCATTTGTTCCATTTCGACAAACAAACGTTGACGCCGCCTAAACATATCATATTTCTGTTTGATTTTCCACAGAATGGCAGCCATCAGTAGCAGTAATAGGAAACATGTGGAAAATGTTATAAAGAATTGCTGCAAATTCAATTTGGGATATTGCGAAAAGGCTATCTGTATCCATATGGGTGGTTGGAAGTCATAGACCGATACATAAAAGGTCGTCAACGAACTATTGTCTTCGGGTGAATGACCGAAATTAAATTCGGTCTTGGGAAAACGATGACGAAACGTCGAACAATTAATGCCGGTGAAGATTTCATTGATGGGCGCTCCCGCTCGCTTCACTGTGATATTCATTTTGGCCGGCACGCTACAGGTTATTGTGAAATCAGCATCAATTTCCGGTTTGACGGGCGAGTTGCGAAAGTTGATCTTCTGAAAGTGACGATCTTCCTTCTTCGATAAGTTGAATGTAAACTGATAATCAATGGTTAGTTCATAGAAGCACGTTGAGGCAATGGGATCACCGTGATAGTGATTCTGCGAATCACACTTCTCACAGTGATCGCCCACAATGCCCTTGGTGTTGCAGAAACATTTGCCATTGTCCGGATTACATAGATCACCTTGTTTGTTGCATTCACATTTCTGGCATTGGCCGCCATTGATGGGATTTCCCCAATAACCACGGGTACATTTTTCACAGTGCTGGCCATAGGTGAGATCAGAACAGGGTTGGACACATTGGCTGGAACCTTTTTCACATTTCGAATGCCCATTACAGTTGCAGAGCGGACACGAGGTGAAATACCATTGGCCGGCAGGACATTGTTCCGGTTCGTGGGCCATCAGAGCACCACCTTCTATACATTTGCCCAGGCCGGTGTTGGTGCCATCGTCACACCAACCACAGGCCGGATCGTCCAAACACTGGGAACAACTGTTGTAGAAACCACATTGAGCCGTCGATATATAGGTGGCCGTACTGTTACTGCTCAAGGCTGTTAGGGCTGTCGCCGGGGCACTACGACACTTGTAAACATGCGTGGTCCACTCTCGGCATTGGCCATAGGGAAAACTGGCCGTGTATGAATTTCGGTCGACACAACGCAACTCGTTTTGACACCAAATACAGTCGTTTTCCGTGCAATTGTGACAATTGGTTAGGGAGGCGCACGAGGGCGGGCATATGACATCGTCCACGGTGCGATTGCCCAAGGGCGCAACAGCGCCGCCACCATTTGCCCAATGACGACAACGATTGTGCTCGGCTTCCCACATACAGTTGCTGTTGGCGGCACAGGCATGGCAGGTGTGCAGCTGTTCACAAATGGCCGCAGTGCGAAAATCTTCCGATTTTGGACAATTTTCCAAGTGTTTGACATTGAGGGGCGGTGCAAGGGTGGCCACCACAAACTGGGATTTCGATTGCTGGCTCTGTTGCTGATGCTGGGTTGAGGTCTCGTAGAACACTGAGGTCTGGGGTGTGGTGTCGCGGCATCGTTCCTTGCTGCATACCCCATTGCCGCAATAGGTACAACCATACGAATTCGATACACATGACTGACAGTTGTTTAGTTCACGACAGCGCGCCACGTCCAACAATAGCTGTGAGGTCATGGCGATGCGGGATTTGGAGGGACATGCCACATAATCGTATTGTTCCCGGCCAAATATGGCCGATTTCTGGACATGTTTTATTTGTACACATTTGCCCATCTGGACATCCCAGACACATTTTACACCGGGACGGGCATTGCTGCATTTCTCTTCTTTGGTATAGATTTCACAGTGGCCGGGCGTAAAACGCAGCATGTCGTTCAAGAGCTGGCCATTGAAACCGCCATAAATGTAGAGGCTGCCATCGAAAACCACCGAGCTGTGACCGAATCTAATGGGGAGAGAGAAATATTATTAAAACTGATCATCTCTAATGGCTTTCAAAAATGAAAATAAAATTAAAATCTCTTTACCTACCCTGTGGTGGAAGCCTTACCTTGCCAAATCAGCCTGCAGGTGGTCGGGAATGTTTTGCTTGTGCCACGAGTCACAGATCACATCATAGACCAGCAGATCTTGACTGTAACACTTGGCACCATAACTCTCGGCCGTATCGTTGTGGGTATTGCCGCCAAACACCATCATCAGACCCTCATTTACAAAATTCGCCGTGTGCAGCAGCCGGGCACTGGGTGCCGATGACAACAGAGACCAGGTACGTGTGGCCGGTGAATAGGCATACAAACGTGGTGTTATATATTGATTTGCCTCCGATTCGGAGACAATGCCACCATAAACATATATCTTCTCCGTCAACATATCATAGGCGGCACTGTGACTGAAACCACCCTTGACCACATAGCCCGCTGTCTCCACTATCTTCCATTCTCTGGTGTTGAAGTTATACTCCTGCACCGTATTCAAATAGCCATACTGGGGAGAACGACCAAATATCACCACCATATAACGATAGCCATGTTTGTCGCCATAGCTAGGCACTAAAGTGGCCGAATGACCCGTCACATGTAGGGGACCACACATTGCATAGGCGGCCGTGGTACTGGCACATGTTTCATCTGTAATTACGGTGATATTTTCCCATGTCTTGGCCGACATATCAAAGGCCCACAGTTCATTGGTTATGCCTGTGCCTTTGACCACACCACCGTACATATAGATTTTATCGCCATGTACCACCGTTGACATGCCATAACGTTGGGCCGGTATCATGGTACCCTTTGCTGGATGGACTGCTTCCCAAATGTCGCCATTGAAATCGTACGATGTCATTAGGCGACCACGGCCATATGATTCTCCCGATATTATGTACATTGTGTCATGCCAAACGGCAGCGGCATGAGAGGCTGTACCATTGGGTGGAAGCTGGGCATTGACACTGGACCAAATGCCATGGGCCCGCAGTTGGCTGCAATCATTGCCGCCATACTCCTTCTTGCAAATGCATCTGGAAAGCAATAGGAAAATTAGTTATTTACTTATTTCCAATACCTTTCGGAGAAATACCCACCTCTCCTTCTCTATATTACAAACCCCGTGACCCTCCTTCTCGTAACAATTATTCGGACAGGCGGCTATGTTACACGCATCACCGCTATACAATTGATCACATATACAAAAACCATTGCGACACATGCCATGACCCGAACACTCCACATCTTCCGAGTCGCTGGGACAGGCATTCATGCGATATGATAGATTAAAGCCAGACATATTATACGCATCATCGCTAAAGAAATGCAATAATGCTGCACCAGAACGTGCTATAACTTGCGGTACACTACGTATGGAAAAATTGCCTCGGTACATGAGGCCGCTGTAAGGAAAGTGACGCGAGATAATAAAAAGATAACAATTAATCTCTTCTTTTTTTGTTGTTGTTGAAAGATAGAGGACAAGTTCACTTACCTAAAAACTGCCAACAGCGACGAATCAACACTATCGCCATCGTATATATACAAATGGTCCCAGCCACATTCCGTTGCAAATTCTCGCAAATGCATACGTATGGTGGGCGGCGGTGTTTGTTTGCCATGTGTATGATTTGAATGCTGTTGCAGCAGCTGTTGCTGCTGCTGGGGTCTGGCATCGATGAGCCAACTGCATTTAACGCTGACGGAATAATTGCCCCAACCATCGTGTATGACACCACTGGGATGATGTAGTCTAGATTCAAGAAGAAGAAGAAAGCAAAACAATTATGGAAAAGATAAATAAATATTGTAAACAAAGGAATAGTAGTTAAATAAAGATAAAAGTAATTCGCTGTGGAAAAATAATAAAATGTCGCGATGATAAAACTTTTTGCGGAATTTTGAGAAATTTAATTCTATGGCTAATGATGTGGCAATCTGAAAGTTTCCACACTGCAACAGAAGTGAGACAGCCTCCAGATTTTATATAGACGACCGACAGGTATTCTAGAGACCGACAGGATGAACTTTAAGTTTTCTATAGACAACCTTTACGTGTTACGTCTATTTATGACGTTTAGGTCTTCTAAATACGACCTTTTGGTCTTCTTAAGACGACCATTTGGTCTTCTAAAGACGGCCTTTAGGTCTTCTATAGACGGCCTTTAGGTCTTCTATAGACGACCTCCAGAACTGCTAGATAGAGGACCTTAAGGTCTTCTAGAGACGACCTTTAGGACTTCTTTAGATGACATTTAGGTCCTCTAAAGACGAACTCTAGGCCTTCTAGAGAAGACCTCCAGGTCTTCTAGAGACGACCTCCAGGTCTTTAGAGACGTCCACCCAGCCCTCTAGAGACGACCTCCAAGTCTTCGAGAGACGACCTTTAGGATATCTATAGACGACCTTTAGGATATCTATAGAAGACCTTTAGGACATCTATACACGATCTTTAGGTCTTCTATAGACGACCTTTAGGTCTTCTATAGACGACCTTTAGGTCTTCTATAGACGACCTTTAGGTCTTCTATAGACGACCTTTAGGTCTTCTATAGAGGACCTGAAGGTCTCCCAAAAGACGACCTTCAGGTCTCCCAAAAGACGACCTTTAGGTCTCCTAAAGACGACCTTTAGGTCTCCTAAAGACGACCTTTAGGTCTCCTAAAGACGACCTTTAGGTCTCCTAAAGACGACCTTTAGGTCTCCTAAAGACGACCTTTAGGTCTCCTAAAGACGACCTTTAGGTCTCCTAAAGACGACCTTTAGGTCTCCTAAAGACGACCTTTAGGTCTCCTACAGAAGACCTTTTGGTCTCCTACAGACGACCTTTAGGTCTCCTACAGAATACCTTTAGGTCTCCTACAGACGACCTTTAGATATTCTTAAGATGATCTTCTAGAGACGACCTTTAGGTCTTCTACAGACCACCTTTAGGTCTTCTATAGACGACCTTTAGGTCTTCCATAGACGACCTTTAGGTGTTCTATAGATGACTTTTAGGTCTTCTATAGATGACTTTTAGGTCTTTTATAGACGACTTTTAAATCTTCTGGAGATAACCTTTAGATATTCTGGAGATGACCTCCAGGTCTTCTAGAGACGACCTTTAGGTCTTTTTGAGACAATCTTTAGGTCTTCTACATGCGACCTTTAGGTCTTCTATAGACGACATTTAGGTCTTTTATGGACGACCTCTAGCTCTTCTGTAGACGACCTTTTGGTCTTCTATATACGACCTTTAGGCCTTCTATAGGCGACCTTTGGTTTTTCTACAGGCGACCTTTAGGTCTCCTATAGACGACCTTTAGGTCTTCTATAGACGACCTTTAGGTCTCCAATAGACGACCTTTAGGTCTTCTATAGACGACCTTTAGGTCTCCAATAGACGACCTTTAGGTCTCCAATAGACGACCTTTAGGTCTCCTATAGACGACCTTTGGTCTTCTATAGGCGACCTTTAGGCCTTCTAAAGACAACATTTTGGTCTTCTATAGACGACCTTTAGGCCTTCTAAAGACGACCTTTTGGTCTTCTATAGACGACCTTCAGGTCTCCTACAGACGACCTTTGGGTCTCCCAAGGACGACCTTTAGGTCTCCTACAGACGACCTCCAGGTCTTCTACAGACGACCTCCAGGTCTTTTATGGGTGACTTTAGGTCTTTTATGGCCGACCTAAAGGTCTTCTAGAGACGACCTTTAGGTCTTCTAAAGACAACCTCCAGCTAATGTTTATTCCACTTAAAATACGGAAACACCCTAGAAGACCTAATGTACCAAATCCAGGGCGTTTTAACAAAGTATGCAAATGATTATTATTTTTGCAACTATTAACGTCTGTAATCAAGAATTTTTCTTGAGAGATTATCTTATCGCCTCGCAACTTGGAGGTCATCAAAATTGACATTGAATTGTGTAAATCGCACCAAAAACGCTATTCCACATTCCATTCCACAATTGTTTGCACCTGATTAAGGTTTTTTTTTTTCAGACATTTCTTTATTGGTTGGTTTGTTTGCTATTTCGTTGACTTGGAAAATGTTAAATGTTGTGTGGCAAAAGCAGAAACAACAAAATAATCCATGTTGTTCACATTTGTGGCTGAGGGCGTCATTACCACGTAACCCCACCTTTTTGTTAACCTTCGATGTTTAACAAACCTTTTTTTTGGTTTTTTGTAATGAACCTCATGATATGCTATTGAATATTTGGTATTTTTAGGCGATATATTTTACGCTTTGTTTGTTTTCAATTCAAAAACAGCAGCAAAAAATAAAATGAAACTGTTGGTGGTGGAAAAGGTTCATGACAATGATTGGTCAAGGCATTGTTTTTTTTGATGTGGAGGTAGATATTACAATAAATAATTTAATAATAATAATATTTTTGCTAATTTTTGGCAAAGAACAAAATATAAAAATATCTGAATGTTTTAAATAATACTTTAACAGAAATAACTACTAAGAGAACTTATGATTGGATTTGAATATCTTCCATGGTGGAATTGTTGGTCAAGTGAAAACTTCAAAGAGATCCCAAAATCCATGTTGGAAACAAATTAACTTTAAAGACCATTACTCGTAATATTTTGCAAATGGCTTTTGCTAAATATTCAGTAGACCTTAAAACTTGCTTTTTAAAGAAAAATTTTGAAGTTGTTTATAAAGCCAAATATGCTGAACCCCCAAGGGACTTTCAATGTAAATTTTTCAATAAAACTTGTGTATTTCTGAAATTCTTACCCACGTGGATTTAAAAGTCCATTGAAAGGCGGTTGTCGGAATTTTTGCAGAGTTTTGGTTTGGAAAATAGATTTTTTAGAGCGAATATATTTCCCAATTACTTTTATAGATTTTCAAATATCTCTCCCTGCAACGTGGATTTATGAAGATTTTTTGTAAATTCCGAAAATTATCAAATAGCTAGCTAGTCTGGGATAATTTCCAAATGCCTAAAAATATTAAGTTTTTAAAATATTTCTTTAGAATTCTTTAAGGCCTTGCAGCTTGTATTTCAATATAGGTTACGAAGTCTCCTCAAAATCCCAATAACAAGGATTTTTTTCATTAAATTTTTAGGATTCTTAAAGGTTCTTCGTGGAAGGGCTTATGAAACATTAAGTAGTTTTTGGAGTCGATTCAAAAGACCAAATGGATTATTTTAAAACTGATTGTGAAATCATTATACCGTTTTTATAACAGATCCTGTGTTTATAGAAATATTCAGATATGCCAAGTCTACTTTATGGAGTGGACCGATATTGTCCATTTTCGCAACTAACGTAGCACTGACTCAAATATTAGGATTTGCAAAGTTGTAGCAAAATCGGATTATCGTTTCTTTTTCTGTGCAGAAAATATATTTTTTTGAAAATTTCGACCTTTTGTGGGGGAGGTATCAGAAGGAGTGGACCGATATATTCTATCTTGACACCAGGCCTTTGGTTAAAAGAATTAGTGGGATGTGTGAAATTTGAAAAAAAAGGACTCTTACATCACATTTTATAAGAGTTGCAATTGTTCAAAAGTGTGACCCTTTGTGGGGGAGTTACTTGATGGAGTGGACCGATATTGTCCATTTTCGCAACTAACGTAGCACTGACGCAAATATTAGGATTTGCATAGTTGAAACAAAACCGGATTATCATTTCTCTTTCTGTGCAATTTTTTTTTTTTTTTGAAAATTTCGACCTTTGTTGGGGAAGGTATCAGAAGGAGTGGACCGATATATTCCATTTTCACACCAGATCTTGGGTTATTAAAATTATTGGGATGTGTGAAATTTGAAGACAATCGGACTCTTACAAAACAATTTATAAAAGTTGTAATTATTCAAAATGTTGGCCCTTTGTGGGGGAGGCACCTGGCCTAGCACTGATGCAAATATTTGGATATGCAAATTTGGAGAAAATCGGTTGATCTTTTCTTTTTCTGTGCAATAAATTATTTTCTTTGAAATTTTTGACATTTTGTGTGGGAGGTACCAGAAGGAGTGACCGATAGTGCCCATATTACGATGTACCAACATTGGATCAAATCGGATACTTCCTTCGAGAGTTATCGCGCGCACCAGCCAGACAGACGGACGGACGGACATCCCATATCGACTCCAAATGTCCTGAAACGGATTTGGTCCAAAAAGTCCTAGGGTCTAAAATCGTTATTTCAAAGAGGCACGTTTTGGACGTATCAAATGATATATACCCTCCCTCTGTAGCCATATGGCTGAGGGTATAAAAAGTTGATTCTTAATCAATACATCGTGGAAATATTTTAGGCAAAAAAATGTGGACTTTTAAGGTATATACATCAGCTAAAGTATGGTCTAAAACTGCTGTTTTTAAGAAGATATTTCAGGAGAATTTCATGGCGTATATTTTAGATGAATTTATGATCTAAAAAAATAGTTTTCAAGAATATAAAATCATCAGTTTTAATGAAAACACATTTAAAATGCATCTAAAGAAATTCTAAATTCGTGAATTTTCCTGATCATATTTCATGAAACCATAATGTAGCTTTAGGGTGTTTCAGGTGTAGCGTAGATCTGTTAGGAATTTATTTTGTATATTTGAAGAATTTTAAGATTCGAAATAATGATTCTTAAGGAAGTAATTCTTATGAATTCTCCCGTCTAAAAACGAGATTTTAGGCGATTTTAAAAAATAATCATATTTCAGTTGCATATCAGGCTTTAAACAGTCTTCCAACAGGTACCACACACAAGTACCAAAACTCCACTACAACATAATCAATACAACGACCATCATTAATAACGCTTTTCACTTTGCAGCTCTCCAAAAACATATTTCATTGTTAAACAATTAAGACCAATCATCATTTTGGCCGTACTAACTAACTAGCTGGCTGGCGTGAATGTGTGCGTAGTTTGCGTTCTAACTTATTTTAGATTAGTTAGACCCTCTTTCTCTGTCTCCCTCACTCCTTCACGGCCACCACAAACATGAATCATAAAATTTATCAATTTGGTCAGAATTTCACCCTTTACCTAAACCATTAAACAAAAACAAGAATAAGAACAGAAGGTTCAATGGAGGTGTGCAATGTACTTCAGCATAGCTGATATGGATACGTACCTTACTTTACCACCACAAAATTGGCATTCTGGACCTTGCCAACCATCGGCACAGATACATTGGCCATCTCTACAGCTACCATTATTTTGACAACCACCGGCTGCCGTACAATTGTAGGCTGTCACACGGGCCAAACTGCTGGAGCATATGTGGAATAGGACAAATATCAGCAGCAATAGATATTTTCGCCGATATTTGCTATTAAATGAACGGGCCGTTGAGGCTGGAATATACTGTTGCTGGTGTAGTAGATGTTGTTGTTGTTGATCTTGTTGTGTCTGCTGCTGTTGCTGGTGCAGTTGTTCTTCTTGTTGTTCGTCTGTATGAAGTACATAACAACATTGCTGTGCTCTTGCGGAACTATTGCTGTGACGGCGGGTTCTATAATATTTTGCTCGGTCTTCTTCTTCCGTGTCGTCCAGTTTCAGTGTTGTGTTGTTCACACAACACATTTTTGTGAAAGCGTTTAAGCCCTACTTAGCTTTTCCCTCTGTCGTCGTCTCGTCGTTGTCGGGTGCCGTGGCTATCGTAACGAATGATGCGGCGGCTGCTGCTGCTGAAGATGGTTGATGGTATAATTCTGGTTGTCGTCTTAATGTTTCTTATGTTGTTTGTTCTCCTGCACCTTTTTCCATTCACATCACACAAAAAAACACACACACTGACTGAGCAAGCACCAACAACAACAATTGTTTTGTTACATACGTTCGTCGTCGCGATTTGTTGTTGCCACTATTGCCTGATGTTGTTGGATATTTGTTCATGCAATAAAAAAATCTGTTTTTTTCTTCTGCTTCTTCAATCACCTCACTTTTTCACTTGGTAGTCAAAGAAAACTGCACTTGATAACGTTGTAATACTGCCCGCGTTAAGTTACACTTCCCGAACGAGTTAATCAAGACCATTGCTTGTTTTGTTTCTATTTTTATCAAGTTTTAAACATATTTTTTATGTGGAAACTGTGGAAATTTATTGAGTTTTCTGTTTTTATTGATGGCTTTCTTTTTTCTCTTTCAAGGGCTCCACAGACCGAAGATGATGAACTAATCGATTGGTGGGAATTGAAAATCGATGTTTATCTTTCTAGGGCTATATCAATCGAAATGAAGACATATCGATTAAACGTAATAAACGATAGAAAGGTTGTAAATGATTATATTTTCATAAAAAATAGTTTTTGGCCAGTTCCAGAACGGCAATGATATAAAAGTTTGTACTTTTTTTAATTCTCCCATAAAAATCGCTTTTGTTTCAGTGGTCTGTTCCAATACTAGAAGAATAAGGAAGTATTTACTACGTTAGCCCATGGTACAATGAATTCAAGGTAGGGCAGAACAACCATATGATTTCAATTTTTTTTATTTTTCTGGCTTAATATGTCAACTTCATATGTTTATGTGTGTGTATTTTTTCAATAATAAAAAAATTGTTCAGGAAATATTCAAATTTGGGTGTTTTCAAAATGCTTATTGCAACGTATGCATCGACAAAGTCTACAGTTTTTGTCGCGAAATAAACCATAAGAGATATATAGAACATAATTTTGAAAAGAAATGTTGACCTTTTATTCAGTTTTCGCGGTTTTAAATTATTTATTCAAAATCAATGCAACAAGTTGTTTGCTTTTTTATTGTTTTGATAGCAATTCTGACATTACAAGCCAAACAGGTAGACCTCTATACTTGCAATTTTTTCAAAGTTGACCTACCTTCTCTTCATTGTACCATGCGTTAGCCTATTTTTTACTCTATGATGTAAAAACAAGGCAAAACTAGTAGATTCTGTAAGAGAGTATTAGTTTGGAACAGCGGTGCGGTGTATGGATAGAGCTCTAGCTTCCGAACGAAATGAAGTAGGTTGACACAGTTTTACTAAATCGAGTTCGGATATGGGCAATATCGGTTCACTCCTTCTGGTACCTTCACCAACGAATTGTCAAAATTTTCAAAGAAAATAATTTACTGCACAGAAAGAGAAAGGTCATTTGCGAAAATGGACAATATCGGTTCACTCCATCAAGTACGTCCCTCACAGAGGGTCAAAATTTTGAGTAATTATACCTCTTATAAAATGTGATGTAAGAGTCCGATTGTCTTCAAATTATACACATCATAATATTTTTATTAACACCAAGCCCAGTGTGTAGATGGGATATATCGTTCTACTTCTTCTGGAACCTCACCCACAAAAGGGTCAAAATTTTGAATATTCATGAAGCTCATAAAACACGAAATTATTCCATTCAGACTTGGCACTTCTCAATATTTCTATCATAACAAACTATGTTATAAAGATGATAGAGATTTAACCATTCCTTCTGGTACCTCCGCTACAAAGGGTCAAAGTTTTGAATAACCAAAGCGATAGCAAAAATCGTATGTAAAATTGCAAATTTAATATACATATGGATAAAATGATATCACATATGTAATAAACACTCCGTCTGATAGAGCCATAAATCCTCCATAAATTGCCATTTTACTACATATTTTTGCTTAAGTTTTCCTTATGCGTATTTTTCAAAAGCTCAAAATTTGTTTAATTACAAAACAGTTAATTGTTGGACAGCTGATTATACTGGATTTTTTTAAGTGCATTTACTATCAAAATGGTTCTCTCGATCCGCTCTCTCTTATTTATTGTCTAGCCTTTTCAGAAAATAATTTAATAATTTCAAATTTACATTTCGCTGATAATTCAAATTTACAAATTTCACTGATCTAATAGTACATTAAAAATATTTATGTCCAATTCTTCCGAATTTAACAAATAATATATAAAATGAGTAATTGCTTGCTATCCGCGGTGTTTTATTCACACATTTGGGCAAGTAAATTATGTTTTTTTTTAATATTTCACTTGTTGTCGCTCCTATAAATTGTTCGTTTCCAGTACCTGCAAGAATCGACTAGTTTTTTCAATGTTCTTTGATATTATAAAGGGAAAATCGGTTATCCTAGTAAAAACTTTGACATTTTTGCAGTTATGGAAAAGACCGAATGTAATTTATTTTATCTTCCTTTTATTTCTGTTATACAATTTTTAATTTCCTTTTATTGGTAACACTGTTTACTTGATTAACATAAACACCTCGCGGCATTATCTCTTCATTCCTAACAGCTGCTATGGTTTCCCGTCACTGGGGAACGAAATAGAATGAAACATAACACCAAATCCCACTTGAACGTTATTTATCGACATATATTATGTTACAATGCCGATAATACAGTGCATTAACAGTACAAGTGTTAAATAACAGTGAGTTATATTTATTTCCAAGATCCAAGCCGTTATTTTAGTAGTTAGGTAATATTCTGCGTTCACTTATAATAATGTTAAATGTATTACACTGAATTAATAAACTCAACACATGAATATTTCTTTTTTTTGTAATTTTATCTTTTTTAAATGCCGCCAATAAGAACTGTAAAGCTTTAAGTCAGAACAGACACTAATTGAATGACTTCAACCGTTATTGAATTGAAGTGATTTGCTGTTGCGAACAATGTTATTTATAAACATGTCATAAATGGAATGCATTGCGTCACAGTGACTTTAAGAGCCATGTACTTTAATTTTAAATCTATATAAATATATGAAAGAAAGTTAGTTTCACTATTTATAACTCAAGAACAACTTTACCGATATGGTTGAAAATTACGGAGGAGTTAGCTTAGAGTCAGGAGAGTGATAATATTTATTCCGTAAGTGTACTTAAAGGTACTTAAAATTGAAACCATTGCATTGGTCAAACGAAGGTGGGATTACAAACTTAAATTAAATTTAAAGAAGTAAAGATTTTTTGAAAAAAAAAAAAAAACGTAAAAAATACTTGAAATCGGAGTTATCCTCCCTGATAAGGTGGACTATTCCAAAAAGTGGAAATGAATGCTAATGAAAGCAAAAATGTCGGAAGTAGCTTCAAATTTTAGAATAAGTTTAGATTTGGTCACCTTTGGCAGGAATTATGGCCTTCGAAAGGCCATTGAAACCGTCACACGCTGCCCGAATGTTACTCCGTGGTATTTTGGCCCATTCCCGGTGAAGCGCTTGCTTGAGGTGATCGACATATTTGGTATTTTTTAGTACCAACCATGCTTTCCAAAATACTCCAGACACAATAGTCCAATGGATTGGTATCCGGAGATTTTGGTGGTGATTGTGCGCTGGAAATGAGGAGAGGAACCTCATTTTGAAACCATTCTTGGGTGGCGCATGCTGGGTGCGATGGCGCTGAGTCCTGTTGGAATGTCCAAGGTCTGCGGCCAAAATGTTTGCGTGCCCAAGGCTTTAATACATCCTCCAGAATATTTTCACGATAATATTCGGCATTTATTCTGATGCCAAGGTCGATTTAAACGAGCGGAGAGCGACCATCGGCTGTTATGGCGGCCCATACAATCACCATGGCCGGCGCTTGAGTTCTGGTGGCCAACCGAAGGTGCACATTTTCAGCTGACCTCCTTGGCAGGTAAACACGATCATTTTGTTTGTTTACAAACTGCGGGGCAACGAATATTTTCTCATCGGAGAAAAACCAAATTCGGCAATTCATCACTTTCGGCCAAGTGAAGCAACTCTTTAGCTTTTTGGAGTCTATTTTCTCTCTGTTTCGGTGTAAGTTCTTGCACTTTTTGGAATTTCAATGGCTTTACCCCGAGCTCATTTTTCAATATTTGGATATTGCGATATTGCTCACGAGCCATTTTCGGCCACTGCGACGCAGGTTTCGATCAAGTCGCTTCTTTACATTTCGAACCATTTCCGCCCACGTCCACTTGCTTGACGTCGGGCTACGCTACCAAAATCACGGTAAAGGAAATTCTATACCATATTTATAAAAAATCACCAAAAAGACCCCTTTGTTGACTCGGTTGAGGGTTAAATTTGTATAACAAAATATTCCCCGTATTTTTGACTGCAATATTACCGAAGAGACTATATACCTAAAATGCATGGATTCCGAGGAATCTTAATCCGGAAATTTCCAAAAGTGTGGAAGAGTGGGGACCTACTATCTCTGTTTAGGTTACTTTGCGATTTAAACTTTCAAAACGCCGATACAGGTGTCTTCTTTTTTTTAGCTCAACCCTCATAATCTGCTGGATTTTTCCGGTAATTATCAAAAAAAAAAAAAAAATTTTGTTGTTGGTCCTGTAAGGCCTTTCAAAAATATTCGTTAAAGTCCGTATTTCTGGCCCAGTTACCTTTTGAAAAACATTTTTGAAAATCCACAAAAATTGCTTTGGTAGGTCTCTGAAAAAACATTCTTAAAATATTATAGCTCAGTAGGTTCTGGATGACATTTTTTTTTTTAAATCCACTAAATCTTGAAAAATATTTTTAAAAAAATTGTTGCTTTATAGATTCCTGAAAAAATATGTATGTACGTATGATTAACATTTGATTTATATAATACCCATACGCTAGAAAGTAAAAATGAAATAAAAACAAAAAAAAAACTCAAAATAAACATGTCATTGTCAAGCCCTTTGAACGGCGTTGTGAACAAAAAAAACACGCTTTAAACTCCTTTTAATTGTGCCTGAAAATACAAAAGAAAACTCTACACTAGCGGTGCTCAACGCCAGGCATTTTCGTGACTAGCCGTTGCTAATAAAATGAGAAAGAAAAGCTTTTGTTTCCTTCTCTGCTACTCGCTTTTCCTCTTCTCTTTCTCATGGCATAGCGGAGAAATGTGTTGCGTTAAAGGATTTGCACCAGGGCCAGCTCAGTGTATTTCTAAGTTTATGCCGTGCTAGTTCGTTTTCAATCGAAGCGAAAAATTAATTTTGTAGTAGTGCGAAATCTGTAGTGAATGAAAAAAAAAAGAAATAAAGCAACAATAAAAAAATATTATATAAATGCTAATAAAATATTCATATTCATAAATATATAAATTAAGCAAACAAAACAAAACCGTCCCTATGTAAACGTAATATAACAAATATTAAATATAAAAATAAATAATTATTAATAAAAATAAAATAATCTCCAAGGAAAAAAAAATCCAAAAAGAAAGCCACTGCCCCATTACCACGGTCTGTAGGTATTTGAAAAATCGATTTTCTTTACTCTCAACACCATACACAACAACATACATACATACCCACTACGACTGGATGCCATCGGAGGAGCCATTATTGTGAATAGAACGAAAATAAAAGCAAAACAAAGCCAATAAAATAATAAGCCAACGCTGTTTGAAGTCTGGTGAGGCCAGCGAAGAGAATAAAACACAAAAAAAAACTAAAGGAGAACCAAGAAAAAAACACCACAAACAAGAATAGCCTCACTTCACTGAAACAACAGTTATTGAAGCAGCAGCAGCAAAAACAACAACAACATAGCATTACACATTCCTTTGGATGGTAATGAAAAACAGTGAATGCTTTTAACCACGCACACATACACGACGCCATGTGTGTGTGACAATAACAAGAACAACAATAAGCAGAAGGAGAAGAAAAAATAACAAAAAGCATAAAGCTTCAGTGATATAATTACATTTTATTGCACACAATATCTGGTTGGCGCTCTTTCTTATACACACTCTCTCTCTCAGTGAAATTATAGAGGCAGTTTCACTAACGGCATTCTCTTGTATGGTTGTTTCCTTTTCCGTTTTATAACATTGAACACACTCTCTCTCTCTCTTGATGGTTCTGTGAGTGCCTCTCTCTCTCTGTGTCTCATTGATTAGAGAGTGCCGTGTGAATTCGTTGGCTCAACTCGATTACAGAGTGTTGTGTCTGTCTGTATGTGCGTGTGTGTGTTTGCTATCGTTGCTGCCATTGTTTTAGCCAGCCTGTGTGTGACATTTCAGTGATAGTAGTTTCCTTTTGGCCGCTGTCGTGCGAATACGTGTCTTGTTGTAAAACAATATTTGACGTGTCTGGTCGGAAGTTCCTTTGCTTCTATTTTAGCCATACAAAAAACAGCAGCAACAACAACAGCAGAAAAATAATCTAGTCTAGTGTTGTAATAATACATAAATTGTATTGCGAAACAAATTGTGAGTTTTGTCAATCAACTAAGCAGGCAGGCAATCAGTCAAAATCATTCATGTCTGATTTGTGTCCAGAGTTCATTTGTGTGTGTGTGCAAGTGAGTGATTGAAGAAAAATTGCTAATCACAAAATTATTAAAAAAAATCAAGTGCTTACCTCCCAAGGAGAAACAAATGAAAGAATAAGAAAATTGCCAAGATTTAAGCCGTGTTATGTCTTCTTCTTTTTTTCTTTTCTGGCAAATGGTCTTTGGTCAATTATTTACCATGGTTTTTTGTGCAAATGCCAGTCATCAATAGTTACGCCCCAAGCTGAGAGATCCAGCCATCCAGTCCGGTTAAAAAAATATTAAAACAAAAAAGGTAAATAGCTATGCAAGAGAATTTTCTTCCGTTTTTTCTTCTATTAATTTTTATTCTATTGCTTTTACATGTTTTTTTTTGCTTCATGCAATTGTTATTCGCATAAATTTCTCTCTTTCTTTTGTTGGGGTCCTTTTTTAGGGTATTTTACATACACACACATATTTGAAATGTCTACACCAGGCTCCATTACTTTGAAAAGCATGTCACCACCCCATCATCATTATTATCATCATCCCCACCAAGCCCCCCTCTCAGCTGAAAAGAAACCTTTACTTGCTCTCTCTCTTTCTCTTCCCCCCAAACCCCCCCTCCCACTCGTCATAGAGAACAGAAAAAAAAAATAAAATAACCGTGCATGCCAACATTACGTACGACATGAAAGCACGCACAGATGACAAGTACCCTGGTATTTACCGTTACTATTAAAAAAGAGTACGCCGCACACACATACTCACACCCACCTACATATTTACTTTGGTTGGCAAGTCTTTTGTGTGTTTCTGTGCGCGTGTAGTGTGGGGGCGACTGTGTAAAGGAGTTTTATGTCTGCAGTCAGCCGCCTTTATTCTTTGGCCTAACCAAATAATATTGACAACAAAACAGAATAGGAACAACAGCAATAACACCGAAAGAAAGGAAGTAAAGGCGAAGCAGTCACTGTTTTTTAGGAAGGGGAAAGGCTAGAAATACAAATAGTCACACACACCCAAAGCACCCATTTTTGGGCTCCAATGTTAGTGTTGCCATTTTTCGGGGTGGTTTGGTATTTCTACCAAATTGAGAATTGGTTTTTGGGGAAATGAGAATGAGTTAGTTTTTATGTGAGGATTGTGGTACGAGCACAAAGTTAGTCCTTTTGTACTAAATCTAAAATGCAGCATTTTTGCATCGTACTGAACCCTTTTATTTTTCAAAAAAGAAAATTATATCTAACATGTTTGCGAAGGACGAGTGGCATATTTTTATTCCCTCAGCCATATGGCTAGAGAGGAAATAACGGATTTAGACCCTAGGTCTCTTTGGACCAAATCCGTTTCAGGACATTTGGAGTCGATCTAGCGATGTCCGTCCATCCGTCTGTCTGGCTGGTGCGCACAATAACTCTCGAAGGCAGTATCCGTTTTCATCCAAACTTGGTACATCGTAATATTATTCTCAAACTTAGATCGAGTTCGGAGATGGGTAATATCGGTCCACTCCTTCTGGTACCTCCCTCACAAAATGTCAACATTTTCAAAGAAAATCATTTACTGCACAGAAGGAGAAAGAATAATCCGATTTTGTTCCAAATTTTCAAATCCTAATATTTGCATGAGTGCTAGGTCAGGTGCAATAATGGACAGTATCGGTCCTCTCCATCCAGTACCTCCCCCACATAGGGTCAAAATTTTGAATAATTATAACACTTATAAAATGTGATGTTAGAGTCCGATTGTCTTAAAATTGCACACATCACAATATTTTTATTAACCCAAGGTTTGGTGGGAAATTGGGATATAGCCCCCACATAACGGTACCCCCCCCCCCCCCCCCTTTATTCGGTATTTTAATGATTTTAGCGACATCATTCACCCGAATTGTTTCAAATTTCTTATTTGAAGAGCCTAATAAGTAATACAACCTATGAAAATTACTTATGCAGGTCTACGTCTTCGTATAGGCCCCTATAACGGTACCTCTCGATATTCGGTATTTTCATGATTTTTGCGACATTATGCACCGGAATTGTAACAAATTTTATATTTAAAGTTCGCAATGGGTACTATAGCCTATGCAAACAAATTTCGTATTCAGATCCACGTTTCGTATAGCCACCACATAACGGTACCCCCCTTTATTCGGTATTTTAATCATTTTAGCGACATCATTTACCCGAATTGTTTCAAATTTCTTATTTGAAGAGGTTAATAAGTAATACAGCCTATGAAAATTACTTATGCAAGTCCATGTCTTCGTATAGGCCCCTATAACGATACCTCTCGATATTCGGTATTTTCATGATTTTTGCGACATTATACACCGGAATTGTAGGAAATTTCATATTTAAAGTTCGTAATGGGTGCTACAGCCTATGTCAACAGATTCCGTATGCAGATCCACGTCTTCGTATAGCCCCCATACAACCGCTGTTATTTAAGTGGTAGTTTTCAGGTTTTTTGAAATTTTTCAGGTTCTTCCAAATGGTGGAGGGTATTTAAAGTTCGGCCCGGCCGAACTTAGCTGCTTTTTTGCTTGTTTTTATTTAATTTGATTAAGCCAGAAATTATGTAACACCTCGAAATATTGGTCCCCCGACATGTTCGTGTTTCAATGTTAATTTGTAATAACGCTACAAGTCGCAATTATGACCCGATCTTCACGAAATGGAAAATGGTTTCGGAGATGATGGCAAAATAATTGGGGGTTGAAATTAACCAAAAATTAAAAATTTTCCTGATTTTGGATTTGCTCTATTGGCCATAATTATAGATCAATTCAATTTTATCGAAATTTAGCATGAAGATTAGGGCTGGGCAGAAGCCTACCAATTTGGATGGACATTGGACAATATTTACCGGGTAAAATATACCATAACTTTTATGTAGGAAAATGTAAAAATTTCCATTAAACCGTGAATATTCTTAATCTCGGCAAAACCAAAAACATTCGAACAGATCACTTCTGACCATTATAGCGATGCTGAGAGACGAGATATACATAGCAGAATAGGTACAAAACATGGAGAAATAAAAAAACTGCAACAAAGTCAAATGCCATAATTTTTAATTTTTGTTTTTAAATTTTATTTTTAACAAAAAATGTCGGAAATAGCATCAAATTTTAGAATAAGTTTAGATTTGTTTGAATTGGTTACCTTTGGCACGAATTAATGCCTTCAAACGGCCAATGAAACCGTCACACGCTGCCCGAAAGCTGCTATGCGGTCTTTTGCCCCATTTCAGGCTAAGCGCTTACTTGAGTTGATCGACACTTTGGTTTTTTTTTAGTGCCAACCTTGCTTTCCAAAATACTCCAGACACAATAGTCCAACGGATTGGTATCCGGAGATTTTGGTGGCCATTGCGAGCTGGAAATTAAGCGAGGAACCTCATTTTGTAACCATTCTTGGGTGGCGTGTGCTAAGTGCGATGGTGCTGAGTCCTGTTGGAATGTCCAAGGTCGGCGGACAAAATGTTTGCGTGCCCACCCTCCAGAATATTTTCGCGATAATATTCGGAATTTATTTTGATTACACGGTCGATTAATACGAGAGGAGAGCGATAATCGGCTGTTATGGCGGCCCACACTATCACCATGGCCGGCGCTTGACTTCTGGTGGCCAACCGAACGTGCACATTTTCAGCTGACCTCTTTAGCAAGTTCATTTTGTTTGTTTACAAACAGCTGGACAACGAATGTTTTCTCATCGGAGACGGAGAAAACCAATTTCGGCAGTTCACGACTTTCGGCCAAGCGAAGCAACTCTTTAGCTCTTTTGAGTCTATTTTCTTTCTGTTGCGCGGTGTAAGTTCTTGCACTTTTTGGAATTTCAATGGCTTTACCCGAATCTCATTTTTTAATATTTGCCGAATGGAATATTGCGACATGTTCAGCTCACGAGCCATTTTTCGGCCACTGCGACGCGAGTTTCGATCAAGTCGCTTCTTTGCTTTTCGAACCATTTCTGCTGATGTTGCTGTTTTCTTCAGTCCACGTTCACTTCCTTGACGTCTCGAGTATCACCGTAACGAGTGATGGTAAGAGACACAAAAGATTTATTCACATTTAAATGCTGGAATGCTCTAACGATAGCCACTTGCGGTTTTCCAGCCAAATGTAAGTAAATCCCACTATCACGCTTGAATTCCACCACGAATAACTTTTTTTCCGGAAAATTCTCAGCAAAATGCTTTTGTACGCTTTTAAACAATATAATGAGCTGTCACTGGAATAATTTTAAAAGCTGTCGGACGAGTGGCTTAGAAATGACAACAGTCTGAAGTTGGTTGCAGTTTTTTTCATCTCACACTTGATTTTGACAATACTCATCAATTCGGAATAGTCTCTTGCCAGAAAAGGATAAAATCTAAGAAAAACTTAATAATATGACATAAAAAACGTTTGCTACTTTTTTAAATTTTTGTCATGCGATGTTTTTAAATTGATTGAATTTAGGGTCAAAACTGAAGCCTACCTTTTTTTAAAGATGTACATTTAGGGGTTCAAAAAAATAAAATTTTCCTGATTTTTTTTTTTAGGTTACAATTATGATCATCGCAATAATGGTATCTAACATGTTTGCGTATTACGAGTGGCATATTTATAAGATGTTAAAATTAATGGTATATTCGACATTCTGTGAAGTGAAATTTTCCTAAAATTTAGGTCACAATTAAAAAGCACTCGACAGGGAATTTTCTATGAAGAGAGAGTTAAGGACAGGGAAGAAGTCTTACATTTTATGTGACCATTGGGCTTTCGTGTGAAATTGTAAGTTGCAAGTTCCCCCGGTCAAAAAAAACAAACGTAATATTATTTCAAAAACGAAAACTGACAAAAAAGATTTGGACCTAAGGGGGCATCCAATATATTATAGTGTTGTAGGGTATATGCTGTCCTATATTTTTTAAAAGAAAAAGGCGCTTTCCTGATTTTTTCACCACTTATTGCTTTACCCTTTAATCCTTTTGGGTCTTATGACATGACATAACCAATTGGCAACTCTGTTCATAACATTCAACATTCCCATTCGTCATCATCGTGTACACACACACACTCCCTCTGCCACTCTCTCGCCGCTCCCAATAACAAAACCTTATACCTTACAAAGTGAACACAGTGAGAATATTAGTCGAGTAGTTAAAAACAAAACTTGATGGGGTTGGGTGGGAGAAGGATAGGTGGGGATGGATGGATGGATGGATGGAGGTCAACAGCGGCAACAACATAATCGTTATTTTTGTCATAGCTGTTGGCGTTACAAGAACAATAATTTATCAAATAATATTTCAATCAAA